TTAACGCAAGCGTTGTTTCACGTCAGTTTTCTGTGAGGTCGAGGTATCACTCTGGTCGAGCCGGCCCATTCGTGCCGAAGCATGGCTCTCTGACATGTTTAGTTCAAAAATAGGTAAGGTTAGCATGAATAGTGAGTGTGACGTTATGTCCTGTGAGATATAACTAGAAAATAAAACAAGAAAAATTAACAAACATCTGTCCTTTTATTATCTTTTAACTATTATGATAAATTATAAATATTTATAATGTACAAAAGTGGTTCAATTATAATTAGCACTTAGATATAATTATTATTTACAAACTGGGTATTGGTTATTTAGAACGAAATTATTCTCACATATGTATTACACATAATTACAAACAATACATAAGGTACTTATCGAGATCCAATCATTACAAAGTTTAATATGAATCAAAGAAAACATAAAGGGTAAATTCGCGTCCACCCTACTAAACTTGGCCTGTTCGCGTCCACCCACCAGTTAGCGTCCATTTTACTGATCGCCATGAAATGAATGTAAGGTACTCGAAACGTGAAAACTGTATGTACTAAATACCTGGACGGGAACTGGTGGGAGGACACGAAATGGCGAACTTACCCTATTAATTATAGACGTTTTGAATTTACACACCGCACAGCGAGTTACCCCATACTGATTGATGCATTTTCTACAAATAATTGTTTTTTTTGTGTTATTAACTGGAAGACCTCTTGATGGATGGTGGTAATAATCGAAATAACTGAACTCATTGAGTCTGATTGTCTTACGAGTATATCTATAGGTACCTACTATAATATTATAAATGCGAAAGTGTGAGTTTGTGTGTATGTTTGTTACTCGTCAAAACGGCTGAAGGAATCGGGATGAAAGGAAAGAACATAGTCTGGAATAACAATGGGGTACTGTTTAATCCACTGGCCTTTACTGACTTATTGACAAAAACCCAGATGTATAGATATTTAGTATTAAAATTGGTGATTAATTTAGGCTGTAAGTAAATTATATTCGCTTTTAACATTTTAATTATCCAGTGACAGAAATCATAGTAGGTACTTATAGAAACTTTACGCCGCCGCCAACACGGCTACGATACGACATATTTGTGACTCAATCTCAAAGAAATATGCGACAGTGCTGTCCATCACTTATGACTTCTTACAAATTAGGTTACTGCGTCCTGTTTCACAAACATTTTTCTGGTTAAATGTTGTTAATCTAATTGGAATGTTTCCTCAATCAAAAATAAATTGTTTCCACTTATACTAATAAATCTTCAATCACTTTTAAGTTCGTAATCGCACGACAAGTCGCGCAACCGTAGCCACAGGGCCTAGTACGAGTTTGTTGTATGTATATCGAGATCGCAACATTACGAGCTGGCCAATCGAAGCGTCGAATGTCACAATCATGTCGACCACGTTAAACGTCAAACATAGTATGAAGCCACCCACCAGGATTTATTTGGTCGCCATCAAGCAGATGTATGCGCACCCGTACAATACCGTGCACATAACTGAATACATTCGGTTAGTTACAGTATCCTTGTCATACGATTGTAGTTTCCTAATCAAAATAAATTAATATTTTAGCGAAATACTATTACAATTAATTTATTTCATTTTTTCCCTCTCATTGGCAACCGAGTGTCCAATATTACAAGAATTTGAATCAGCTGGAAACATCCATAGTGATCATTTAATGAAGACACGAAGACACTATCGTAAAGTATTTAGATAATTAGTTTAGGGTATATTTTTAATCAAGTTAATCTGAACTATAGAATAAAATGGACATTTGACTGTTTTTAGCACAGAAAAATTGACAAATATTCAAAGTTATTCCTCAGCAAAAATTTATCTGGCGTTAAAAAAATCGGCCTTCAGTGGAAGAAACCTCACTATTAGGATATAGGACAAAAGAAAACTACACATTTTGAGAAGACTTTGTAATGGCGACCCATTATTAATATTATTTAATTTTATAAAGCTATACATTTCACTGTGATAAAATGATCTCATTTCGAAGGTCATACATATAGTTATAACTCGGAATTATGACTGAACATGGCCAGTTGAGAAAAGACCAATTGTTCTCAAATTTTATTATGGGCATTAAATTGAATTCATTAAACATTGGACCACACCCTTTGAAAACTATTTCTTTTCGAACTTAGGTCACGAAAATAGCTCGAATTACATGTTAAAAAAGCTTTACATAGAGAGGGGTGGAAGGAGATAAGGGAGGCTTTTGCCCTACAGACGATCATGGCTGAAATTAAAAAATAAAATAAATAAATCTGAACATCAGCATTTAGTTTCTGTTTCCCTCAAAGAATTGAGGCCTTTCTCAATAAATAGACGAGTGTGAGTTTGTTTTACGATTAAAGTAATCGAACTGAGACCGCGTTCGACGATCTGATTGGTTGGTTCGTTCACATCAACAGTCTATAAGTGGCAACTGCTGACCAAAGGCCTCTTCTCATACGGAGAAGGTTTGATTCATCATCATTGCGCTTGCTCAATGCGGGTTGGCAATCTTAAACTTATAAGTAGAAATTATAAGCCCAAGTTTCCCCACGATGTTTTCCTTCACCGTTTGTCAGTAATATCTAGATAATATTAGAAAGTACATATAACTTGGAAAAAGTCACATTGGTACTTGCTGTTGTTAGGTTAGGTTGGGCGTCTCAAGCCTCCGGGCCACGACGACATTGGCTAGTTCATTACAGCCACCTAATCGGAGACCTTAGTAACTTTTTTTACCTTTAAAGTAATCGTAACAGTACCTACGCGTTCGCTGCTTCGATTGGCCGGCTATAATAAACCAACCAATCAGAGCGCCGAAGCGTACTTGTTTCGATTACTTTTCACGTAAAGAAACTCGTACTAAGCTCTCAGAGTTCCGAACGCGTACTTTAATCGTAGAAGTAAACTCGCCCTCGACTGATTAGGGTACATACACCATGGCATTTGACCATTTAAGGTAATTATACCAAAGGCGTTGCTTTAATACAGGTCTTTGTTTAGAAACAGAAATCTCTATGGCAGGAATTCTGAATAACCAGGGCACCACCCCTTTTCCAAATATACATATATAATTAAGTTTTAAAAAGTCAAGAAAAACGTTACAAAACTTTTATTCAAACATTTTCTTGTGTTTACTTAATAAACCTGCTTTAGGAATCCTTGCTTCCTGCTATTAGGGATTCAACTGCAAAGGTAGAGTTAAGCAACCGAGACAAAGCCTGCTCCTTAGGCACACCGACGGAGGCGTGGCGAAGATACTGAGAATAAATCAATTTAAATGAACCTTAACTACTATGACATACGGCTGAAAACGGCATGCCAAAGAATCGCGCGTCTCCCAATAAAATCGATCTTTGGCTTCATCATCATCCGTATGCCATAGTAGTTAAGAGTCTATTTTAAGTTGAGTTTTTCTCAGTGTCTTCACCGTGTCTTTGCCGGTACGCGCTGGGCCATATAGTGCAGTCGCAATTTTAATTCAACATCAGTGTTGTAAAAAAGGTATTAAAAAGATTGTTACTAAATGTTATAAAAGTTGACTAGAGCCATCTATCCCGAAGTTTCAACACTACAGAACAGTTGTGTGGTCCCATGTCTCGGTCGCATAAACCCATTTTTTTTCATAATACCCACTTTTTGTCATCACAACTGTCACTACAATTTCCTATAAACAATTTATTATTCCGTGGTAAATTATGCGTTAACTATATTAAGTAAAACATTACGCCTAAGTTATTTTATATGTACAATAAAATAATTTTTCAGTCTTTTATTTCAGCACATTGCTAGACATTTCTATTCCATAGTATTTACAGAACATTTCATAGGTCACCTTCATTCTGTTTTATAAGTAAATATTCTCCATATTATGTATTTGATCATTAAATAAGAACATGTCTAAATATATAAATAACACAACGTTTTTGACTAATTGCTAATATTTCGGTTTACAAGGCATCATTTATTGATTAGTGTTAGTGATCGTTCAAATCGAAAGTTTGTGTTATATATTTTGCTTTTGCGCAAATGATTTGCGCAATTTTTGCGCAAGTATTAAGAAGATTTTTGCGCAAGTACTACAAAAAAAATTGTCGAAGTACTAGAAAGATTTTTGCGCAAGACTTCAATTATTTGAAGTTTTTAAGAAGATACACGTCTCATATAACATTTATTCAAATCTATTATTTGAATTTCTACAAAAGAAGAAAAGTCCGAGATATTCTTTAGAACTTATTTCGACTTCTCGACACACAAACATTCGACTTAGATTAATTCACTTACACAATCAAAAATAATGTACCCCTTTTTTATTGCTGTTTACTATCACACCAACCAACGTTTGTTGTATAACGTAACACTTCTTTATAGTCCATTTAGTAACATGACCATACGCTCATTTTGTATGACGCGCACGTATAACGCGACGGTAACAACACTCAGCAGTTGTAGTCTAAAATCTTTCAAGTCATTCAACTAGGATAATAAACTTCTGCTGTGATAGCATCCCTAGCAGGACAATCTATATATTTTTATTAAGTTCATAACATTGTCTCGTGTAAGACCCGTGCCGATATAAAATACTAATAAATACTAACAAAGCAGTACAAATCTAGACTAATATTTATAATAAGTAATTAATTCACTTTTATCATTTGAAGTAATTTGGTCCTAAGTTATTTGTATGCCACTTATCGCTTCTAGGCGCTACACAGCTCAGGAAGATACATACCTAGACTTCAGCTCGGTTATCTTATATTAACAAATAAAAACATTAAGCGTTTTTTACAAATATTTTGCAAAAAGGGATATGAAAAATCGTATTTCATAGCAGTCTTAGAAATATATTAGTCTTACGATACGACGTCGTATCCGATTTTGCTTCTAATTAATAAAAAACGGGCTAAGTAGCGCCTTAACTCAGCAGCAAGGTAATGGTAAAGTGGAATTAGTAACTAGCGGTATCACAGGGAGTCATACAGCGGGGATGTTGTAGAGCGCGGTGAGGCGCTCGATGAACTCGTTCTCGGCCGTCTCGCCGGGCAGGTCGGGGCGCTCGCGCAGGTCGGCCAGCGCCGCCTTGTCCACGTGCGTGTACACCTGCATCTTGCCGTCCGTGTTGGCGCGGTAGGGCGCCGCCTCGGGCGCGGGCTCCACCAGGCTGTACCTGTACATGGGCCGCAGGACGGCCAACGAGCTCTCCTGCTGGTGTTCCTGCTTGAGCCCGGGCCCCTGCTTGTAGCCGGCGTCGTGCTTGTAGCCGGCGTCGTGCTTGTACCCGGCCGACTGGCCCTTGTACTTGTCGTTGTGAGCGGGCTGCCTGGTGTCGCAGACCTCGACGTTGTTGGTGTAACTGTCGTCGAGCTGGTCTATGGTCACGTTGGGCGCGCCCTTCTTGGCGCTCTGGTTCTTTTTACTAGGTTTCGGTTTCTTCTCGGCGGTCTTGAGAACGATGGAGGATTTGGCGGTGGAGGCAAGGGCGATTTTTTTAATGTTTTTGGAGACTTCAAGTTTCATGTCTTCTTCGACGTGTTCGTCTCGCTTAGCAGGGCGGGGCTTGTCGGGCGGGCGCCGGTCGTGGGTGGCGAGATGGCGGCGCAGGTCCCCGCGGACGCGGAAGGCCTTGCCGCAGGTGCTGCACTGGTGGGGGCGGTCCCCCGTGTGGGTGCGCATGTGCGAGAGCCTGTAGGAGGAGGCGCTGAAGGTCTTGTTGCAGTACTGGCACGGGTAGTTGCGCTCGCCGGTGTGGATGCGCCGGTGCACGTTCAGTGAGTACTTGCGAGCAAACTCTTTCCCGCAGAACTCACATTTGAACGATTTCTGTCAACAAATATTATTACACTTAAATTACTAGCGAATTAAACCCCTTGAATACTATTTTCAACGATGTCCAACTAATTTCGAGATACACCGGAAATCTTCTTTACAGCCTGCGTGTATTTTGAGCGTTTATTGACTATGCGATCGATCCACAAGTCGTATGCCAGTACTGCTCGAGATTAGTCGATCATCGTTTCAATAGTACACATGAATGCGCTGGGTAGACATTACTTAAAGTTACTTTATAGTTTCAGAGTACGAGTGTCATTAAAGTATGTGGTAATGTTCTGACCTGGTCGGAATGTATGGAGACCTTGTGGTACTTGAGGTCGCTCCACTGTCGGAAGTCGCGGCCACATATCTCACACTTGTACGGACGGTCGCCGTTGTGGACACGCTTGTGGATCTGGAACAAGATCGGAATCATGCTATTACTCGGAATATTTTATATATCAGCAAATAGCTTGCAAAAATTGGATACGAGCAGTAGACTATTACAGATACAGATTGTAGAAAGCATGCTGAAAGAAACTGAAGTATTCACCTTGAGCGCGCCCATAGTATAGAATCCCTTCCCGCACTCGCGGCAGACATGTTGCTTCCCACTGTGGGAGAGCACGTGGTATAACAAACTGTTCCTGTGCTGGAACACTCGCTGGCACTGCTGGCACTCAAAGATCTTCTGTTTCTTCTTAGTGTCGGGCTGCGCCTTGTCCTCGGTGGGGGGCGGCGGGCCCGGCCCGGGCGGCGGCCCCGGCCCGGGCGGCTCGGGCTCCGCCGCGTCGGTCGCGGGTGCCTCGCTCGCGGCCCCCATTATATGGTTCGGGAAGTTTGGACTCGCTACTTCCGATTCTAAAATCCGTCGTAGTATTTCGTCTGGTTGAAGAAACATAATATATAAATAACAATACGCCTTTTATACGACGGCAGAGTAGAGACAAATTTTCAACGCGCAAGTATACGTTACAAGTCCCATGTAATTGTCGCCTCCTACCAATGACATGGACTTAACGAGAACATTATGCGACAAATATATCAAAATAGAGAACCATTTATTAGCAATCACGCTTATAATCAAAGAAATAAACGAATCTGATGCACATTACAATATTTAGACTGACAAGTATTTAATTAATGAAAGAGATTTCACAATCACAACAATATCCGAAATGTTTACCTTTGATCATCTTGACATTCTGTGTGTCCTGTGGAGCAGTAGTACAAGTAGTACAGCAGGCGGGGGCCCCGTCGCCGGGCCCCGGGCCCCCGCCGCTGGGCCCCGCGCTGCTGGCCTGGCTCGTCACCGGGGGCCCCGAACTAGAGCCCGGCCCGTTTGTATTGCGCCCGTACCTAGTCAGAATTCAAACTTTTGTTATTCTTCCAATAATATTATGTACTTCATTATTCATTTACGATAGTGATGATGATTATTGCTTCAATTAAAAAGCACAGAGACGTAAAGTCACGAGCCATTTGAAGAGAACAAATGAAAAGTTTGTTGGTTTGGTTGAGCACTCTCCATCTTCATCCAATAAATCTTATGGTGTTAAATCTATACATATAAAAATGAGTCCCTTTCTCCCTTGGTCACGGCATCACGCGTCAATGGCTGGACCGATTTTACTAATTCTAATTTTGCTGTGTTTGGTACAGTCGGAAGGATTTTGACATAAAAAAAATACGGAACGCGACAAAACAGGATTGCGCGTACGAAGTCGCAGGCCGAAGCTAGTAATTTATATTTATATCAAGGAAGGCTATAAGCCTTTATATATGTATACATAAGCTACAAAACCTTACGTTACGACCTATAGAAACCGAGTAACGAGTGAAATTGCGCTGGAGTAGCTGATATAGTATAAAGCAGTAATAAATAGACTGACCAGTGCCGGGCGTTGTCCTGGTGAGCGTACCCGTTCTCGATGGTGAGGTGTGGCAGGAGGGGGTGGTCGTAGTGCTCGTTGTGTTCCTCCACGGCCACGTGGATTCCTTCCATCAAGTCCTCCGGCTCACTGAACTCACCCATGTCCTCCAACTGAGGAGCAAGTGATGAGGAATTGGTTTTATTATCCTATAGAGTAGATAAGTGAACATTCTGATAACTACCCATCCAATAATAAACATTTTAATACTAACAGTAGCACCTCTTGGTTATATTAAGAGGGATGAGGGAAATTATTACCAAAGTAGTTTGTCACACAACAAGGACAATACTGAGCTCTGAGCTCCGTGTCATTAAATACAACGAGAGCAAATATGTCTTAAAGCATCCAACACTCACCTTCATATTAGAATGTGCCTCCTTAATGTGTGCTTCACACTGTTTCTCTTTCCTGAACGCCTTGTTACACTTGCCACAAGTGTACAGGTTTAGTATATTCAAAGTTTCATTCAAGTCTGCCTTCTCAACTTCTTGTACCACACTCGGCTGGTCCTTGTCCATACTTGCCATAGAATATTGCACCTTATTGTTACTGTATGTGAACGTCTTATCGCTTGTCGTGTAAAGCACTTGTTTGTCCATGGGCTGGTACATAGTTTTTGGTATGGAATTTTCTAGAGATAGTTCTACTATGGAGTCAGGGATTGTGGTCACGTTGTCTACGATGCATGAGTTTGTTATCTGTGGACAAAGGCACGAGTTCAATAATAAAAAATTAAAAAAGAACAACATTATTGAACTTTCTGACATTATTGAATTATTGAACTACATATGTGCATGAAGTAAAATAAACAGGATTATTATATTCCCACCTTATCAATTCCTAGATCAGGTACTGGGTTATCAATAATGATGTGAGGTTCGTAGTGCTGCTTCAGATGTTGGTAGAACTTCAGTTGCTCGTCGCCGTAGAACTCGCCACACAGCTGACAGATAAATATTGGACGAACCTATACAGACAGAAAGTGATAACATTTAGAATAGTTACACAAGAATAAAGACTCATTTCAATGCCTTAGTTTGCTATGACCTCAATACAAAATTACAAGCTTATTTGTTTCAAGCTTGTTCAGTACAATGACAGGTTTCACATACTTATTCATTTACGAATGTTCACTTTAGGAAATTACCTATTTATTTATTTAATATGCTTCATGAACAAAGCGTACAATAGGTAGACTTAATGCTGCAAGCAATTACTGCCACAATTAAAATTATATCTTATCGCACATGACATAAAGCAGATTGTTTTTATGGAAGGAGCCAGTAAACGAGTAAGTAGACAGGTCACCTGATGGTAAGCGATCGACGTCACCCATATACAAACGATACACAAGAGGTATATATAGTACAAGTGCGTTTCTGGCCTTTTAGGGATTAGGAATTCGATAATTATTAGTTTCGGGATTGGAGAAATTTGAGGGTAATTCGGCCTCCGGGAACTTCATTCACACGACGAAACACAACGTTGTGGTTGTTTCACTATGGTTTTCTGCTCAGCCGTTGTATTACTTCGGTCAAGCCGGCCCATTCGTGCCGAAGCATGGCTCTCACGCACTTAAATGATTAATCACACCCATTCCAGACATGTATAACAAATCAAACTGCACCTACTGCACACAACATAGAGTTCGAAATGGCTGACAGCTTACCTCATGCGTAATATGATGTGTTTCCTCCGGGATATGGTCCTGTGGCACGAAGGTGTCGGGCAGTATCTCTTGTTCCTGGCTGTGGTCCGCGCAACTGATGCGACCTTCCACGTCTGTGCAGCTGATCACCACCAGATCCTGATAAATTCATTATTTAACATTCACAGGCAATAGCATACAGCGCCTTGTAACCCCGAGGGAATAGCTAAAGGTACACATAATGCCAATTGTCACAGAAGCATACAATGCACACATACTTTTTAAATAAGTGTCATATTGGGGTATACTTCGGGTATTAAAAGGTGTGATTGTATCATGTTTGCAATATTCTTGCCTGGTGTGAAGTAGTGATGCGAGCAACGATGTAGCATGTCTGCCTATAAGGAACTCAACTCTAAACTTGGGATTTTAATACACAAACCCAACGTCAATAGTTTTTGACTGAGACCCCTATTGCTTACATTTTTTTGGAGATCACCTCCGGTGGAGCGAGAGGGAGTGTTAGACTCTTAGTGACTAAAAATCACCCATTCTTACTTCTGCTTCGAACCACGGTTACTCGTTAAGGGTTCCGCAGTTACGTATCGGCATCAGCCCTATTGGGGGTCGTCAGACTACCACGGATGGGGCCGTGGTAGTCTGATGACGCACGTTCGGGCCTGGTTCTGGTCGGGCGGCGAGCTACCCATGCTCGCTGTCCGTAGGCCCGTGCTTACTGTGGCCCCATTACTCAGGTTGGGAAGCATTTCTAGGTGTTAGGTAAGTTTTAGACAATTTTGAAATTCATATTAAATTTTAACTGTTATCCACTGACCTGCTGGGGCGTACAGTTGCCATTATTTTTCTTCAGTTTCCTAGAAATTCTCTTTTTATGTGGAAGACTTTTCTTGCTCTGGTGTTTGTGATGACCCGGTGATGCGCCTGCGCCTAACTCTAACACCGGGCCATCGGAATCTATCATCGATGAATCATCCTGTTGGAAGGGAAGTAACTCAAAAATATTATCAATATTTAATTTATTGGACATGTTTAAAGATATCAAATAACTCTTTTATAACCTTTGTTTAAAATAACGACTAAAAGCCCCTCTTTTTTTGAAATCGGTTCAAAGTGGGTTCAGCCAATCGCGCACAAACAAACACACATACAATTTAAACTGAGAACCTTTTTTTTGAAGTCAGCTAAAGACTATTTACAGATCATTCATATAAACATAATAATGTTAAAACTATACTTAATGCTACTATGTACTATCAAAAATTCATATGCATAAGGATAGAGGAAATATTTTAGGCACTTTAAAAGGAGGTTTATTCTCACTTTAAGTGATGATTTGGCCTTATTATTGAACCAGTCGTTGTCCTGGCACCGCTTCATCTCCTGCAGAGGTGGTAGTGGAGGCAACTGAGGAACTTCCACTACCATTGGGTCTGGAGAGTGATCCTGCAACAATGTACATTTATTTGTTAGTATGTTAGACACAATTACAATAAATTCACACATTAGAGGTATATCTTATTCTCTTATGTTATTTCATACTTATTATATAAAGCTAAAGTTTGTTTGTTTCAACACTCTAAACTCAGGAACTGGTGGTCCGATTTGAAAAAATATCTATTGTGTTGGATAGCCCATTTATCGTTAAAGGCTATAGGCTATACAACATGGCGCTACGATCAATAGGTGTCGAGCAAACCGGGTGAAACCGCTTTATATAATTTGTTACCCCACTGCACTGTTTAGTTAGACCAAGCAAAGATCTTTATTGTTGTAATAACTGTGTAAATATCTTCATATGTGTACTACACCTTCATGTTTAAACCAGGGCTGTCTAAACTAAGGCCCGTAGGCCGCATGCGGCACGCGTCTTATGTTCATGTGGCCCGCGACACACATTTTAATCTTAACATCAACATATATGTGCAACAATAAAATTCAAGTAAATTGAAAATATTTTTCTGGCCCTTCAGCTTTTGTAAGAAATTTAATTAGCCCGCGAGGGTATATAGGTATATATAGTTTGGACAGCCCTGGTTTAAACTACTGGGCCAATAATGACATAACTTATAACTATGCAAATACTAAAATATTTAGTTCTGCTTTAACACGTTGAACACCATGGGGGTCAACATATGGGCCACGATAGCAGAGATTTTGCCTTCAACCAGTGGCGTGCACACCATACATGCAAATAAGCACTGCATACCCTACAAAATCATGGTAAACCTACATAGTCAAATACATAGTGTCACTCATAAACACGACATGAATATTTACTGACATCATACAGAGATTTCGTAATTTTATTGATATTTAATTTGGAAAACTGGTAACTAACGCCATCTATCGAAAAAATATTGAAGTACTACAACCACTTTCTACTTTCTTCGATATTGGAGCATTGCGCCAGTGGCGCCGCCACCTCGCTATTGTGTGATGGTGGCGGAAGCATGTACTAATGCTAGCCGGTACATTTTGCTTGTTTTCTCGTGCTGATGTTGGATTTTTTTTTTGTTAGGTTGGTAATTTCTATACAACTGCAAAAGCACTGCTTCTTCGTTATCCGACTAATTTAGGAAGTCAACAAATCGTAGCGTTTGTTTGAAAATAGATAGGTATATTAATTTTGGTCAACTTATTGTTTACGTTTTTTTTGGCCATTTTGTTTTGGTTATGTTTTTATGTGCAAGTGAATAAATTGTAATGTAATGAATTATAATTTAAATGAACTGTTAATTTACCGAAAATTATGTAAAATTATAGCTGTGAGCTCTGTGCTGGTGATTTGTGTTGTTCAATAAATTCAATATGAGTGCGTTGTCCTTATTGTCGTTCGAAGAAGAAACGAAAATATTTCCAAAGGCGATTTTGCGTGTGTCGTATGTCCGGGCTAGGCGTAACTCAAAAAAGGTAATAATTTTATTATTTCTTTTAATAAACTACGATTTGCGATTATAGGTATAGTTTGTTAGCACTGGTGGTGTACCAATTTCATTATTGTTTTTAAAATCCAGTCATCTTGATCTCGCTTTGTACGATTTTTCTATGCATTTAACGGTCAGTTTATACTGGTGCTACATAGCTTGATGGTCGCGTAACCATTTGTACTTCGCCGCTCCAAAGTAGGTACCTAGTTAATAGATTTATAAAATAGATACCTAGGTATCTATGTTGATCAACTTTATACACGGATAGTTTGAAAATAATTATGTACCTAATTTGTTTATACAAATTAATAAAATACTTACTAAACCTAATTACCTACTCAAAATTATGATATTTCGGGAGTGTTATTTTCCGAGATTAATGTAGACCAATTTTTTTTAAACTGTCAAATACCAAGCGGTCACCGGTGACCGCGACCTATTGTTCTTTAATTGTGTCTATAAAACCGGTACTCGACGAGTTAATCATGTGATACCTTCTGCCTACCCTACTTCAAATCTCTGTGCACGCCTCTGCCTTCAACAGTTTTCTGTCGGCAGTCAATACCTTAAGAAACTATTTAAGAAAAAGAGTATTTACTATTGATTTATAGTGTATCTATGTATCTTATCTTATATGAATAAATATGTATTTCTGTTCGTTTGTCTCACTAAAACTCGAGAACGGCTGAGCCAATTCGGCTAATTTTGATCATGAAATGTTCGTAGAAGTCCAGGGAAGGTTGCAAAGTGAGAAAAAGTTTCAGGCGGTACAATGTTTGCCGGGTCAACTAGTAATAAATAATAATTTGTCTCACCATAGGTTGGCCATGGAATAGCCTTATGGAGTTATCAAGCATGATAGACGTATCCACATCGCCCCTCACTGCCTGTACCTGAAAGTAAAAGAAAAATATCTTAATTATATAAAGTTGAAGAGTATGTTTGCTTGTTTGATGACGCATCTTTTTTTATGGAATAAGCCGGTAAACAAGCAGACGGATCACCTGATGGTAAGCAATCGGCGTCGCCCATGGACACCTGGAACGCCAGAGGCGTTATAAGTGCGTTACGGGCATTTTGGCGATTAGGAGTTTGAGGATTGTTGGGAATTCAGGGATTGGAGAGATTGGGGAAGGGGAGGTCCAATTACGGGGGTAACTTCACTCACATGACGAAACACAATGCAAGCGTTGCTTCACATCAGTGTTCTGTGGTAGTATATTATATTATATTAAGTATATTATATCATGTCATATTCCATTCCATTATTAGTATATTATATTCCATTATGTTTCATACAGCGCCAGAAGACCAGTTAACTGACCCATCCAAAAGTGATCTCCGGTGAACACCCTCTAATAACTCTATTAAACACCTTATTTCCCATGTTTAGAGACTACTTTTGTATGAACAATTTTGAGGATTTATAGCAGGTACGAGTTAAAGGCAATTCCAGAGGTATCAAGTATATTATGTGGTATACCTTATGGTGTAGCTGTGGTGGCCCCTTAGATTGCTGGGCCTGGAAATGAGCCATGAGGGCAGCCAGCCTTCCGATCCTGCCATCTGGATCCACCAGCTCCTCACTCCACTGACCATCTCCCACTTGATCAGACAGAGTAACCTGCCTGCTGTAGTAGACAAAGTACAGTTATATACTTAGATGTAACTAAGCAGAAATATTTCACAATTCTCTTTTTTATAAGAAAATTCACTGCTCTAGAGGCCACAATTAAAGAACAATAGGTTGCGGTCACCGGTGACCGCTTGGTGTTTGACAGTTTAATTGGTTTTAATATTAAGACGTCTGTAGTTCGTTTATATGTAATTATGCATCCTATATATCACTTACAATATATCTTCCTAAGCCTTCTATGGTTTATAGTGAGGTTTTAAATGAATTACCTGCAGAGTGAAGAGGAGTAGGATTGAGAATGCATGATGGACACCCTGCTGCCACCATCATCCTGTACCAATGCAAGTGCCAAAGCATTTCCATCCACATGCACTGCCTGTAAACAAAAATATCAGTTGATATACACCACAACTTGTTTACAAAACCCTAGATATATTATAATGCAAATTTCAATACGCATAAACATGAAAAATACACAACTTTTGTTTATACTAACCACATAAATTGGTCAATGTTTAAATACACCTCAATAGACACGATTACAATTTTATTGTTTCAAATTTAGGACTCAGAAGTCAATAGTTAACTAAACAAGATACCTACATGAAAAAGTACAATACAATACATCAAATTATAATAATTTACGTACCTCATCAGCTGGGTGGGAATTTATATAATGCGTGACGGCTTCATCCATTGCAACAAATTACCTATATCTACGTTAAATATACTAAATGTTCACAAAAGAAACTTGTATTCATCTTTAGTTTACAAAAATCTTGGTTAGGTTATTTGACAGCTGTATTGCTTACGCTCAAGGTCACTAATTATTTATCTAGTTTTATTTATAATTTAACTATTCCATAGAATTTTTAGTACGACAAATCAAAAACATATTATACAACTATTCATTGTTCACAGTTTATTAAAATTCTACACAAACAAAGCCCTACCCAAGAGGCTGATAAAAAGAGTTTTCCCACATATTAGACTCTTTGGTCTTGCTTGATTGAAGTAGTAAATAAAAAAAATCCATAGAGATGAACATCAACATAATTTTAGTCGATTTTGTTAAATTGTTGATAAAATATAAAACTCAAACCTAAAGTAGTAATGTTTACTGATTAATTTCACCTATGAGTTCAATATACTGTTTAATTTAGTAATTAATATAAAAAAACGACATAACATCACGCCTTTTATCCCCGAAGTGCTGTACAATGTAACACCCACTTTTCACTATTTATGTTATGTGTCCCATGTAATAGGGAATGAGCCTATTGCCATATACCGGGCACAATTCCAAGCTCCGTGCTACTACTGAGATTCTTTTAAAAAACCCAGTAGTACCGTGCCCGACCCGGGAATCGAACCCGAGACCCCTTGCCCGGCGTCGCACTTGCGACCACTCGGCTAACGAGGCAGTAAAAAAAACGACAACTATTTTAAATTGAGAATCGACTAATAAATTGTTGACTAACTACATTGTACTACATCACTAAGAAAATATCAGAATGTCGGTCTGACACTGACAGACAGATTGTCTTTTTGTGGCACAAAACAAAATATTGTTTTGATGTTTCTGTTTTATAAACTTAGTAGCGGTACCGCCAGACGTTGTCCTGCCTAACCACTTGAACGTATAAATAAAAATTCATTCAAATTAGTTTAGCCGTTTAGGATAACTAAACTAGAACCGACTGCAGCGCCATCTGCCGGGCTTTCGGACGGAAAACCATTTTCGGTCGGACACTAAAATCAAGTCATAGTTATTCATTCCGATGACCTAATGTGTTAAATTAAAGGGAAAGATCTCAATATACCGATATTTAAATAGTATTTAATGAAACAGTAACAATTACAGATTAGATAACCGAACTTAATACCTCGTGTGTTCATAAGTTTTGAGACAAACTTTTTGCATATAAAAATAAAATAAAAATTACTGGCTACTGTATATTTCTTTTTCTAATTTTGAATTTGGAATGTTAACTTTTAATATCTATGATTTCGGATTATTTTATTTAAATTTTCTCGTAATGGAGGGAACAAAAGAATTACGTGCGACCGTCATTTCATTATTTAACTCGTTGAGTACCGGTTTTATAGACACAATTAAAGAACAATAGGTCGCGGTCACCGGTGACCGCTTGGTGTTTGACAGTTTAAGGTGGGAAGAAAACCTATGGACATTTTCCGAGAACTGAAAAGTTTTGGTGTGAGCCGTAACTTCGTGTATTACACTATTAAACGATACCAGGAGACAAGTTCTTTACATGATCGGCAAAGAAGTGGTCGTCCACGCTCTGTGAGGACGCCTGCGAACATTAAAATCATCCGAGAGCGACTTCGCCGAAATCCATGTCGCACTCAGAAGAAACTCGCTCTGCAGACCAATATTTCGCGCGTTTCAGTCAAATGAATACTGAAATATGATCTCAAGGTTAAGGCGTATAGCCGTAGAAAAGTACACTTTTTAAACGATCGCCTTCGTCAATTGCGACGCGAACGTTGTCCAATACTGCTTAGGAGACACGATGCGAGGAAGATACTCTTCACCGACGAGAAAATTTTTACCGTCGAAGAAAACTTCAATCGACAAAACAATGAAGTGTATGCCAAAAGTAGCAAGGATGTCCCACCTTCAGCACGGAATGTCTCGCGTACTCATCATCCGGCTAGTGTCATGGTATGGTGGGGAGTTTCGTACGAAGGTGTCACTCAGCTTCATTTCTGCCAACAAGGCGTCAAGGTGAAAGCCAAAAATTATCAAAGTGACATTCTAGAGACTGTTGTGAAACCCCTGTCTAATACCTTATTCCATAACAAGTATTAGGTTTTCCAGCAAGACTCGGCGCCATCCCATAAGGCTAAAACCACCCAAGCTTGGCTGAAGGAAAACGTGCCGGCCTTCATTGCGGCGAACGAATGGCCCTCCTCCAGCCCCGACCTCAACCCGCTGGATTATTCTCTATGGACCGAATTAGAGCTCAGTAGCCTAATTCACGTAAAATCAAACAGTTGAAGTTTTATAGTCGCTCGATCATAGTTCGATCGAAGTCCTATCCGAAATCGGTATTCACATATTCTATAATCGGAGTTGGATAGGACGACAATTAAACTGAATCGAAACTAAACGACAACTAAACGATTCATCAACGTTTCATTGGCATTTAAACAATTATGTATTCTACCAGAATGTTAAAATACAGATTTAAGTTGAATAAAATCTGATTTACGCCATAACAATAAAATAAATGGAATTAAAAACAATATTAATATACATTTAATGTAAATTGTTGAGTAAAATAATATAATTTCACCACTAAACCACGGTATAACAAGATGTCAATCATGACGTCCAATTCGTCAAACATCGGGTGCTCTCGGCAATCCTCGGTTCGCCCTCGCCCGTGCGGCGCTCGACAACCGACTCAGACCCGTATACCCCCAAGCGGTCACCGGTGACCGCTCTCCATTAACTACATTATTTCCAATGCTTAGAGACTACTTTTGTATGAACAAATTTAGGGGATGATTTCAAAAATTTTCAAATAATATAGAAATAAAGGTGAAGTAGGTAGGTAGCTACTTAATATTTTGTAATTTGTAAATCTTTTGATTTGGTGGTTCAGTGCACGAGCGCACATAAAGTACAGCCGCCACTGTTCGTAAGTAAGGCCAGGGATGCAGGAGGCTAAAAACAAAATTAGATTCTATGCAAATAAATGTAACGAGATAAAATTTAAATGTAAGAAGCACAAAAGTTGACACAAACCTTTTTTATCACTGATAAACCATATTTTTTCTGTTTAAATTAATAATTGAGTTACAATGAAGTCAAAAGAAACGTACTTTTGTTCAGCGACACTTCAACGACATTTAAACTATTAGATTTGACGTTTAGTCGTTGACAGCCGACCCGTTCCAACATCGTTTGTTTACGAGAATACCTCCGTATCAACGATTGAAAGACGATTAAAACAGCTGAATACGCTTCAACGACACTTCGATCGAACGACTTCAAAATCGGTGTCGATCGAACTCGACAGATGTATGTGAATACGAAAAGGACTTAAACGATTAAGTCGCTACGATATCGCTACGGTTTTTATTACGTGAATCGGGCTACAGAGCCTGCCGAAAGTCCCACCCAAACTTGGAGTCACTTAAGCGAGCTCTTGTCCGAGAAGCGAAGCGAATTCCTCTGGAAAAGATTCGTGCCGCCATTGATGACTGGCCAAATCGTCTAAGGGCATGTATTAAAAACAGGGGTGGTCATTTTGAATAATAATTATATTTAATTTTTACTTACTATCTACTTAATGTTTGTTATTGTTTTTATAAATATAAGTTTATTATTTAAAAAGATATGCAACTTTTAATTTGTCTCAAAACTTACGAACACACGAGGTAGTGATGCTATGATGAAAAAAATATAGAAATGTTAATAATTTTTTTTATGTGATATTTAATGATTTTATACAATATAATAAGTATAATGCAGCAAATTTCAGTATTTAAAGAAAGGTGGTTTAACTGGAGCCACGACCGAACATTCGGTTTCGGTTTCGGCCGGAAAACCAGTTTCGGTCCGACACTAAAAATATCTAAGAGTTGGTACATTCTAGAGATGTAACGAATGTCAGTTTTTAAGTATTCGCGAATACGAATGCGAATATCTATTCGCGAATGCGAATATACAGGTTTCAAATTAGTAAAGTATGTGTAGGCAAGACAAAGACTGCCTTAACATGAACACAGTATTATTTGTTTTGTAATGTCATAAGAACTGTGATTCATAAACACAAAATAGGTAAATTCAAAAAAGAAAAAGATGTTAAGTTCGAACGTTTTACAATTAAAAAGAAAATATACATATTAATACTATTTTGTTTCATTTAAATTTACCTAATATTGTCATAAGATTGTGTGCAATTTCATATTCGCAATTTATTCACGAATGCGAATGCGAATATAAAAAATCAGGCGAATATTCGCGAATGCGAATGCAAATATTCTTTACATCACTAGTACATTCCAAGAAATGTATGAATAGGTACATGTAAATATAATCCAAGAAACAGAGTATGTGTTACTATAGAAAAGCTTGAAGTGTTTACAATAATATCACTTAAAATTTAACCTGACTAAAAACAATAGGGTAGTTCTCAAACTTTTATTTTAATGTCCATCTGGTCTATTGACAATATTACACACATGTTCTTTGTGTAGGTTTTGGTAAAGTGAATAAAAATACAAGCTCAGTAAACAAATGGTTTTATTTTCAAGTTGCCAGTAATTTTACTCACGTGAAAATTATCTTAAGTAAATACAGAATTGGGATAAAATTTTAACAATAGACATTTTTAGAGATCGATAACAATAAGAAATACTTAACAAGATTTTCTTAATTTATTTTTCATATGCACACAAAATAATACAGCACACACTATCAATCCACATAAAGAAAGCGAGTTTTACAGTTAGGGCAGTTCAATATTCAAAATCACATTCATTTTAGATTGATTGAACACTTCTTACAAAATTGGAATATAAATGCAAATATACATGTACACAATACATGCGATATAATTCAGAAGGCTGATTATCTAATCTTTATTAAATCAAAAAGATGAAATAAGTTCAGTTTGGTATTATTTTTATAGTCTGAAACTGAAATCTTTCATCTATAAT